TGAGTCAGCCCGCCGGCCCCGCCCCCTCCAGGCCACGCCCCACGCCTGGCCAGACCACGCCCACAAAGGTCCCGCCCCGCCCCTCCCCCAGCTTTCCCAGTTCTCCCGACAGGGCAAAGGGGGCGGGGCCTGCGGGGCGCAGGGCTGCTCCTACCTTGGAGTCCTCTCCTTGCATCCTTGCTGAGGCTTCGGGATTTTCTTTCTTTCCAACGCCTCACCTTCTACCACCACCCCTACCCCGCTCACCGTGAAGAAGTGGAAGGAAAGGCCAGTTAACAAACGGGGAAACCGAGGCTCAAACAGACGTGCTTTGCCCGGGGCTTAAGCCCTGGGCAGCCCGGCCTCCCCGGGAGCAGGACACGCCTTGCATTTCAGGGTTTTCAAAGGACTTCCCAGTTAGTCTATTTTCTATTTTCACGCCTGGTACATGCCCGCGGAGCGTACCAGGCAGGGCGGGGATGACGCCTCCGCGTTTACAGAGGAGGAAACTGAGGCTGGGAAGGGGCTGTGGTGTCAGGGTTGTGCAGTCGGTTTGTGGGAAGGGATTACCCCACCCGAGTCTCTCTCCTTGAGGGCCTGCCTCATGGGCTGTTCCAGGGGCAGGCGGTTCCTTGGTGATTTTTGGAGTGTTTCCCAGTTTTCCACTTGAGCATCTACGACACAAATAATTAAGGAAAAGTTCCTCTCGTGGGGCCCTAAATTATCCCGGGTCAGCCCCTCTACACATTCTCTGAGAACCCTGTCTGTGGACTGAGCGAAGCCAGAAACACTGACACTAGAAATGTGAGGTTGCCCCACCCTCCTGGTCACCCAGCCCCAGGGCTTGCCCAGGCAAGGCTCAAAGGAAGGAAGGTATTTTGCGCAAGTGGCCCCGGTTAGGGAGTCAGGGCGGCGTCTCTGTGCCAGTTGGAAGGAGCAGAAAGAGGCCTTCCAGCTCTTTTCTGAGGCCAGCCCCTGACACCTCGCTGTGGACGTCCCACTGCCAACCAGTGTGAGTGTGGTCTGTGTAGGTGGTGAGGTCCCTGTTGCAGGGGGCATACCAGCAGGTACTAGGCAGGGAGTCCCTGTGACTTGGGATCGTTTCTGGCCATGCTCGCTGCTCGGCTGCAGTCCCTGACCTGTCGGGGGATTCCCAGCAAGGGGACAAAGGACAAGTTCAGCCAGCGCTGGTCCTGGAACTGGGTTATTGACCCCTAGGGCAGAGGTTAGGAGAACTGTTAGGAGAACCAGAAAAGCTGGTAATGAAGGGAAACACCAAGAAGTGGAGTAGGGTGGGGGTGGACACTGAAGTGGACAAGGGGCAGACAGGGGCCCTCTACCTTGAAAGGAACAAGAGTGGGGTGGCCAGCGTTCTGATTTTTAGGAGTTACAGTTGCACTCTCGAAACCCACTCACTGGTCACCACATGGCAGCCTTTATGGTGGTTCCCTGGGGCCACCGAAGATATATCCCCACCAGCACCTCACACGCAGTATGTCCTTCAGGATCCTCCAAGCCAGGAGCCAGGATATCCCCCATCCACCCACTTCTCCCCACTGCCCACCACTGCTGCCCCTCCCATCCAGACCACGGTCATCCTGCCCCTGCAGACTGCACCAGACTCCCTGGGCTCCCTCCGGCCCCCGTAGTCCATCCTACCCAGCAGCCCAAGGGATCTTTCTAGAAAGCCTATCTGGCCAACCCCTTCCCCTGCTTGGAAGTCTCCCTTGCTGCCTCTGAATACAGTCCAGGCTCTTATCAGGCACCCTTCCGCCACCCTTGAGCCTGCCAGGCCCTGCTTATCACTTCCTGCCATTCCCTGGCCGCACCCGGCCACACTCACCTACAGTCTTTGTCCAGGCTGGGCCCTGCACTCGCCACTCCTCCTCAGCCTCTGACACCCCACTCCCAGGCCCCCTGAGGAGCCACTGAAGCTTTTTGGGGTCCCCACTCTGCTCCTCCATTGGCCCATGGGTCCCATTTGGCTTCAACACCCTCCTGAGGGCTCCTTTGTGGATTCTGCCTCTGGGTGCCTCCCCCATCAGACACAGAGCCTCCATCCTGGGAATGCACCACCTTCCTGCGTGACTCTCGCAACTACCTTCCCTTCTCCTGGCCTCAGCTTCTTTATCTGCAAGGGGAGATCATAGTCCACTTCCCACAAGGGTTACCCCACAGCCGGCACACAGTAGGCACTTAATAAATGCAGGGTCATGTTCCCACACTTGAGCCCAGGGGTGAGGAACAGGTAAAAGCTGTGTGAGCTAAACAGGCTCCCGGGAGGGGTGGTCCAGACCCCAGACCCTTTAGAATGTTTGCTGATTCCAGCCTGAGACCAACAGAGAGAGAGAAAGAGACAGACAGAGAGATAAAGAGAGAGACAGAGAAAGAGACAGAGAGACAGAGAGGGACAGAGAGAGAGAGATTGCTGGGGAAAGTTGTAAGAATTTTCCCACAAACAAAGTAGTCCTTATTTATTGTAGAAAATTGAGAAACCACAGAAAACAAAAAGAAGACAATGGAGTCCTCTTTATTGGTTTGTCTGTTATACCTTAATAAAATGTTTAATATAAAAAATGAAATGAATGACTTCTGGTCAAGATGGCAGAATAGACGGTCCCCAGCATCACTCTCTCCCACAAATAAACTAATTTACAACTATTAAAAAGCAATGACAGCCAAGCTGAGGCCACTAGAGCTCAGGGGAAGAGGAGCAGAGATGTACGGAGTGCATGAAGGCGGGAGAAGCCACGATGACAGAAAAAAAAATCTCTCTGACCATTTTGAGCCCTGGCCACATCCAGGCTGGAGCTGCTGAGTGTGCAGAGCATGAGCCGGCAAAAGCTACAGCTGTGCCCTTCGGATGCAGGTGCTTGGAGGCAGCAGGGGAGAAGAGGGCCTTGGTGGCCCCCAGGCTAGCAAGACCACTAATAGGGATCCCATGGACCCACATAGGAGTGAGGAGTCACAACAACTGAATAAAAGGAACCACTCAGAGGCCAGTGAGTCACTGCAAGGGACCAGCACATGACCTGTCCCCATGGGAAGTGTTTGCACCACGGGTGGTGGGGGAGACGGACCCACAGGGAGAATACTGGGACACAGCAAGGACAGCTGGTCTGCCCCCAATAAGCACAGGACCACTCAGAGGAGACTGGTCAGGAATATAGAACTGCATGGGGTACAGTTTGATGAAAAGACTCAGGCCCAGACCAGTGTTTCTACACAATCCAGGTGCATTGGATTTCAGTAAACACAGAAGTCCTATAAAGTCAACCATTAAAATCTGAGCTGCACAAAAAGCTCTCTCCAGAGAATCAACAGCAAAGCAGCAACTTAGCTCAACCATAGGGCTCAAGTGCTGGTCCTCACAGGAAGTTCCCGCACTTTAGAAGTAAGCAAAGGACAACAAATTGGTTCCAGTGCAGAGTTTAAGTGGTGGGAACAGCAAATAATTCAACACAGAACTGAAAGAAAAAACAGAGTACCCACAGGTCAGAGACAAAGTTTTTTTTTGTTTTGTTTTGTTTTGTTTTG